AGAGAGAGAGAGAGAGAGAGAGAGAGAGAGAGAGAGAGAGAGAGAGAGAGAAATAAAGAGAGGGACACGAAACTATGTACAACAATCGAAACAGAGTTCTCACCGCGTACATTGTATATTTCGAATTTGGAGTACATCCAAATTGAAATGCAATATCACGCGATAACTGGAGTGCGTGCGATCTTTTGAAACGACAGTGAAATTCGCGTCGGTCCGGGTTAAAGCGAAGAAAAACGACGTGCGTTCTAACAGAGTCGTTTTGGCTCGGATCAATGAATTCGCAGCTATAGAGGTTCTACCTAACGCATTATTCATCACTTCTGACACATTGTATTCGGGGCCTCATCGACGGTCCGTCGTGAATTTTGGGTTTCGCTAATTAAAGCGGGATACTTTAGATCACGAGATCAATCGTCCCTCTTTTTCCAACTGAGATTTCCGACACAATCAAACGATTGCGCAAGAGGTCGCGGGACGGATGAAACAGAGCAGTTGGAGTAATTCCAACGAGAATGAACATTGTTCCGGTGTTATTGCGTCGCCCGCGTGTGATAAGTACCTTCGGCGATACGCTTTATGTTACGTTTGTCATCTTTATTGCCGCTCTGTACGCAACATTTACAACTCGCCGGTGCTATTATAACAGCCTTTCATCGAGTCATTCTCGTGTCGGACGCGTTTCACTTCATATCGAGGAGCATTCGCGCGAGTAAATACGGACAGTACGATCTTCTTTATGAAGACCCACGAGCGCATTGTTAATCATCGTGCACCACATCATTTCGAATAGTGAAACGGGATTTTCATATCGCCACTTTGTATCTCGCGACAATGACCTTATCGCTATGCGCCAGCCGTGCTGACACCTACTGATCCACCTACTTTACCGCTACTATCCGGTATTCGTAATAAAAGCCGCGTTAAATATCTGTTCTATAATATCACACTACTTTTCCAACTCGTTATTCAAACGATCGAACAAGCGCATTGTGGTCGTACAAACGTATTTAATGCAAATCCTCCTCCTGGTTTCTAACGAAATTCTAACAAAATTCGCCGACAATCTTGAATGTCGTTTGCACACGATTTTACCTCATGTTGTTGCTGTTGCTGTTGAGAGAATGATCCCTGCGCGTGGCCATAATACTGATAATTATTGCGGTAACTCGGAGAGCCGACCGCTGCCGATTGGTTTCCCATCAACGATCCTCGAGGCAAACCCAATCCAAACATATCCGAAATCGCGCTATCACCTGAAGAAGAAACAGAAAAAAAGCGATGATTAGTGGAAAGAGAAGAAAACGATTGTAAAAAAACGAAAGAAATATATTTAATATAATCGTATTTATTCTAGCTACGCTAGAACTAAACAAGCGAGTAGAAATAATGTTTCGGTGTATCTCGTACTATATAATAATTAAATAAAATAATAATTAGATAATGATAACAGAATTAATTTTATTCTATTGAAACAAATAAGAAAAACTGTCCTGTTTTTTGAAAGTTCTTTGAGAAAGAACAAAAGTTACATGAAACGTCAATCCTTGTAAATACTTATAAATATAATCCTTATAATTAGAATTGCTCAAAATAAAAATTCAACAACTAAAATTGGATCCAATCAGACCCTGACGGTGTATTGAGGATTAAATGAGAATATGTCGCTTACTGTCAGTATTGTTAACGTTCTTGTCGGATTGTGATGAGGAGGCTTCCTGGGAGTAACTGGAGAGATGCGTGGGCGGCGGTGGTAGGTCCAACAGTAAATTGCCGATCGACTGCAATTGATGCAGTCTCTCGCGCTCCTGATCGCGCTCCTTTCCGCGCTCCCGCTCGCGGTTCTGGTTGAGTTTCCGCAGCAACAGCTTGCTCCGCTCTCGATTCTGCATCGTGTCTTGATGATGAATCGGCTCCGGGTGATTCATCGATGCGCCCCGATCGAATCCGAGGTTCGCCCTGTCGTTCTCCTCGCTTGCCAGCGAAGAGTCTGACTGCAAAATCATGACATTCGCCAATTAGTCCGACTTCTCTCGACGAAAGTATTTCCACACGCGTGCACACACACGCGAATGCGTCGCGAGGACGATATTTGCGAAACAATTTTGACCGGCTCCCACCCCGGCAAAATCGTCGAGGCAGGCTGATCTTTCCCGAGTTACACGAGCGACGCGGATGCTTCCTAACAGCGAAAGAGAGAACGATTTCGTCGTTCACAATATAGAATGTACCGCGGTACAAACACGCGATACATTACTCTTACGGCAAAACGTAATTCGTGTATCACTTTATAACGCGACTAAGACCGAGAGGTGCTTCAAGTGATCTCGCTTAATCACGAATCTACCGGCAATTTGGGTAATTACCTCGGCTCGTTTAAGCGACCACGTTATTCCGTATTTTCTTCTGTATTTCCCGATCGCGTCGTCTCGTTGAAAGAGGGAGGGAGAGAGAGAGAGAGAGAAAGAGTTCCACTTCGAAATTACTTCGAAATCGCGCCGTGTTTCGCGACCGCGGACACGACGCACGCTCCTTATCAGCTCCTAACGTTATGAACGACGCGGACGTACTGCGCGCGAACAGCATCGTACAAACAGGGCTTGAAGGACGTTACGCGCTCCTGGGCCCCGCGTTTGGAATTCGCGAGAGAAAAAAAAAAAAATTCTTCAGGAACACCAGGCGTATCGGAACACATTCCACGGCTTTCCCGGAATTTACTTTTGGACGCAAATTCCGCTGGTAACTACCGTTCGCGGCGACACGCGTTGTACACGCGATGATCGTACCGTCCCGGTGTTTACGTCACGTGTGACGTGCGGAATCTTCGCGAGGAACCCCTTTCGGTCTCGCACAAGAGGACCGCGCGCGAGGTTCTCCTTCGTCGCTTTGGCCGCTGTCGCGCGACGATTTTTGGAGTCTCGCGAGCAAAATGATCGAGAAGCTGTATGAACAAGTACATTTATCGGTCGGAGACAAGTACGCACGATAGGAACGTGGAACGGTGCCGTGCTTGATCCGCCATTGGGAAAAATATTTCGCGAAAACACGGACACAATGTCTTGCACTCTCCTACCGTTTTCGTCGAGGCGATTAGCCACTTCGATTACGCTGTAACATCGCATATGCACAGTAATAGCGTTGGTTAATATTAACGACGACGATGAATGCAGTGTTTACAATTTTGATGATAGCGAGAGTAATAATATGATGAAAATAAAAATAGAAAAAAGAGGAGGAGAGAAAGGGAGAGAGAGAGAGAGAGAGAGAGAGAGAGAGAGAGAGAGAGAGAGAGAGAGAGAGAGAGAG